GTCAAAAATTACCGTGAGAAATTAATAACAGGTCTCTCGAGTTTTCGTCACTCCACTGCAACATAGGAGAGAGGAAAAATTCTTTAATACAGCCATATACAATGGTGAATCGTTACATAGTGGTAGAAATTGCTAATAAACAACTGAAGACTGCCTTGTTATCATCTACGGGTTTATATCGAATTAATTTGATGGCCTGCTCCCAGTTGGCTTGTTAGCTCAATTGGTAGAGCGCTGCACTAGTATCGCAGAGGTCAGTGGTTCGAATCCCGTACAGGCCTGAAATTTTTTTCAGGTCTGATTTTCACTATTGCTCAAATAGTGCTTTACTGCGAAGGATCGTGCTCCTATACGTCTCATAACCGCAGTTCACACATATGTTTCATATGTTTGTTGTTGTTAGATTTAGTTTCCTTCGATACATTCAGCGCACTTTAGCGGCGAGGCAAGGATAGCCTAAAGAAGATATTTCTATATGCCTTGTAAGAGCAAAGACAGGATTCTAAGTAGATGTCGGTCGTAATAAGGGATAAAAAAAAAACAGTTAATTCATTAACTTTTGGCCTGGTAGATTTTCAGCGAAGTTGCTTTGCGTCTCTTTTTTACGTCTTATTCATTTATTCCAGTTATCGTCACAGTTCTTAGACCATTTAAATTTTAAATCATTAAATTAGGCAAGATTCTGGTAAGGGTTGATAAAAGTTTATTTCGTGATTGCAAGGCTTGGAGTTAAACAGTCAAAAATTACCGTGAGAAATTAATAACAGGTCTCTCGAGTTTTCGTCACTCCACTGCAACATAGGAGAGAGGAAAAATTCTTTAATACAGCCATATACAATGGTGAATCGTTACATAGTGGTAGAAATTGCTAATAAACAACTGAAGACTGCCTTGTTCGTTTGCAATGTCTACCGCTTCTCTGGGTTGTTGTGCGTTAATTTCCTTGATCCAAGCGTTGACAGTTATCTTCTGTAATTAAGCGTTTGCCACTCAAAGGAATTTAACCCAGTTGAGACAACATAGCATCTAAGAAGAAAAAAGAGCGTTAGGCGACCCTAGGAGTCTATGCACTTCACGGTGACATGAATCATAAATAATCCTCGTGGAAGTGACTATAGCCTAAACTCAGTAGAAACGAACGAAAAAGGGGGTGCGAAAATTGGCCTAAAATGGTCATAAAAATAGAGCAGCCGTTTTCCTGACAACCAAAACAACAACCATTATAAATACCTCTTGAAAGTTCTCCACAGTAACTTGAACACTTTTGTTAGGCCGGATTTTGACGTGATGGCCGCGATCATTTATCAATTCAAATTCTTCTGGTATCGGCGTACTTATTTCCAATAGCCATATGCGACTGTCTCTAACTTTACTAAGGGCAGCTCTAAGGGCTTCTACGGTTTTAAATGTGCTGATACCTATGAGTAAGATAGTTGAAGTAATGATTTCATAATTAACTCTTAACACCGTTCTTTCTGGTGTCATAAGATTGCTGGAAGCATAGGAGCGGAGAAGTGTAATATTCCTGATTTATCCATCCGCCAATTCAAAACACTCTACTGAGAAACTGGATATGAGAACATTCGAAAAAAAACAGCTCAGGATATAAAAGTATGAAATTAACTAAAAGTTTTACTCATTACTTTTTTTATCAGATTCCTTTTCGGTGACGAAGATCCTGCTAAAAATTCGCCTTCCTTCCAAATAATTGTTGATAGTGCCCATTAAGTATCTGGGAGGCACTTATTCGAATTCCGTAGAAGACTAAAATTTTTAAGGCCGCTTTTTTCTGCAATTTCTTAAATTTCAGATTTCCTGCAACGATCAATTTCTCTCAATTTCATTTGAACCGCAGATCAAGATAAAATTTATACCGCTCTATTGTGAACTCATCAAGTTTAGCCCGTACCCCAGTGTTCGGTGTCGATGAATTCAATTCTGACCGCCATATACGAAACCTCCAAGTGATGACAAGAAAAACCTTATATAAGAAAACGTTCGCGATTAACACAGATTTTCATTCATATACAGCTAAGAAGAAAATCGTGACAATGAAAAATTCATGATACGAACCTCCTTAAAGTAAGGCATTGGCACACACATGTCTACAAGGCAAAATGCGACTTATCAAAACGGTAACGGTGACTACCATTAATTAGCCTTCTGAAAGATTGATCCGAAGTAAATTCTGTCTCTAACAAATTTAACGCTAAAACAGTTAGGTGATGAGACGTGAGTACATAAAAAATGAATGAATAAAACCAGAAAAGTTCCAAAACCGCTCACAAAATAATATTTTCTTTTCTTGCAAGTTATGATCTATTTTTTCGTGAAATTCATTTACCTGATGATAACCCAGGTATAATCAATCTGCTTTGTTCCTCAATGACAAAATCAAACTTGAACTCTCTCCTTCTAGTTCCTTCTGTCTCATTCATATTTTCCTGGTAGAAGTCCCAATAATCGCTTTCAAACCAAAACCTTAATTTATTTTCGAAGAGTCTCCGCTCATACGCATACCTAAACAATTCTGTAGTTGTGTGTTGGCTATAGTTTAATGCAAATCTCGAGCCAGCATCTCTACCTTCCACAATCTCCATTCGTGCCATGATCTCAAAGGGGACTGATGATTCCTTTTTCGTGTTTTAGTTTATCAACTTCAAAAGAGTTCGATTGGCGATTGGTCTACGTTATTAATTTTTCATAAATGTGATTGTTTACCTATACAAATAATGTGAATCATAACCTTTTCAATTAGGGGTATATTGAACATAATTAATTGAAGTTCTCATCAAGAAATATCATTCTTGCTCAATGAAAGATGTGGGAGGTTTTTCTTATAATTATCAGGGTATTCGGGTTTCCAAGAAAACACCGTACTCAGAATTAACAACTGAATCATGAAAGTATGCAGTTGTCGCCAGATAACGCTGCGACAAACCTTGAAAGGTGAATACATGATCCAGACCGGGTAACCTGCAATTAAAGAAAATGAAGAGAGGGAGCCTGAAAAATACATTTTTTGATGCTGTTTGTCGGTCAAAATATTATTTATTAAATCTAATTTGGGTCAGCTTCTCTCAGAATCCAATAACATTTCCTTTGATCTCAACATGTGGCTTCGAACCATGAACGTCCGGAATGGACACATTCCTTTACTCGCGTCATCCTCAGGAACATAAATGATGAACTTCAATAAGATTACTAAAGATAACTTTAACAAACAAAGATCACCAACGATCACTAAATTAGATAGAATAAGAGAGACGTTAATTTTTTATATGTTTTTTGTTTTCTTTTTTGCAAGAACATTCCGGTTCGGAATCCAAGAACGGTTTTAATGCCATAACCACGATTCAAATGTGAGAAGATGTATCGTAAAGTTTTAGATTTTGTCGGCTGAGGTAAATTTGCTCCAGTGGTCGGGAGGAAGGTAATTGGGAGATGTTAAGAAACACTGAATTATTAATGACCCCTTACTGACAAAATTTTGATTGGTCACGACTCTGTTGTTACGTATAGCTGGCAACGTCTGGCCGATTATCCATAACATTACTTCGTCAGGTATCGACGCGGACTATCTTCTTGTTCAACACTTGGGTACGGGGGGATTTGGGAACAGCGGATGAAGGTCTTTAGGAGCCAAACATTTCAATCGAGTTGTTGTTCTTTACCTACGTATCAGCATAGTGAGGATATAAGATTGTCATTTCCAACTTTGCATGATTTTCTCGGTTGTTATCGACAAATTTCCTTTTAAACGTAACCTCGTCATCTGCTTAATTTCCCCCCTTTTCTAAGGCTCTGACGCTTAGAACATTGGCGAGTGCTCAAGGTGGCGCGGAAAAGTTTTCTAACGCGCTCACCGACTACATTCCAAGCGTTAAAAATCCAAATGTGTGTGTGTGAGGGGGAGGG